TGTGTGTGTGTGTGTGTGTGTGTGTGTGTGTGTGTGTGTGTGTGTGTGTGTGTGTGTGTGTGCGGACATAGCGCATTTAGTGTGTGAGAGAGAGTTAGAGAGGGATAGAGGGAGAGAGGGAGAGAGGGAGAGAGAGAGAGGGACCGGTGCCAGCAGCAGGCAAAAAACCACCTGTATGTAAATTGTAAATAAGCCATCTGTATGTCAAATATGTCTTATATGTCTTAAATGACATGATGAATTGGAAATGGGGGACCCTGATGTAAACAAGACGAAAGTCTTTCTCTGGTCTGCATCCCCTTAACAATTGTATGTTTTGAGCTGTACTGTACTGTACCCAGTATACAAGCTGTTAATAAACTTTTCAATCAATCAATCAATCAATCAATCAATCAATCAATCAATCAATCAATCAATCAATCAATCAGGGACCGTGTTGTTAGCATCTGGTTAGCTAGCTGCACTAACGGACATACGGAGCTGTTGGTTCCACAACAAGCTGGAGGAGAGCTCTCCTCTCAGACTGAGAGGCTCAGGTGAGCTAAAGGACTCTCTGAGTGTTTAGATAGTTCACTTTAGTCTAAGTTATCTCAGTGGGTCTCAAACGGTTTGGTCACAAATTATTCAAAAGATTATTTCCGCGGCACACTTTCATATGATCATTATAGTTATAAAAAAAATAAGAGAATAAAGGAAAAACAGTTATGAAATACTATATGGCAGTAAAACAAGAATACAGTTTGAAAGGAGAGTGATTTGTAAAATATCCATAAAAAAAAAGAACATCTGCTTACAGTTGTGTTTCATCTGGGTGTTGAGAGATGTATCCATAGATCTCTTAATGTTGCTCTTATAGTGCACCAGATTGATGCTTTTAACTTCAATATTTAAAAAAAATCTTCCCGGGGGAACATCCCCCCGGACCCCCCTAGAGGAGGTGAGGACCCCCCGGAGGTGAGGTCCGCTCCCCACTCGTAAAAAATAGCACTTTACCCCTGCCTATATGCCGTGAGCTGATTATCGAGCCTTCATTGTAACAGTCGCGGGTACACTGTGTGTTTGCGTGTGGGGATTGCTTTTGTGCGTGCTCTATAGTGCCCGTAATAGTGTTCACTGGAGTCCAGCACCTCAGCACCCCCACTCAAAATACCTTCCCGCGCCTCTGGACACAACGACATGCTGACTGCAGTGGGGTTTGAACCTGTTTGGGGAGAGATCTGCTGGTACGTTTTCAGCAACCAGCATCAAGCTTTTACAGCTATACAGCAACTCAATTTTGGCACGGGTAAATTATGATTAAAATACAAGCAAATTCACACTTACTATTTGTAGCTACACAAACAAGACAAGGATGTACAAATATATACTTTATTATTGGAACAGATCCAAAAGTGCAACAGAAAAAAACTCACTCGTATGTTATTTTAGGGGTTTCAATGAAAAGAACACAAAAAATATGACACAGTTACAGAATTATAACACTGTGATAAACAGGGAGAGGGATCCCTCCTCTGTTGCTCTCCCTGAGGTTTCTCCCATTTTTTTCCCCTTAAACTGTGGGTTTTTCTCTGGAAGTTTTTCCTTGTACGATGTGAGGGTCTAAGGACAGAGGGTGTCGTTTTTATTTCTCATACTGATATTCTGAACAATCTGTGCTGTTGTATTTGCTGTAAAGTGTCTCTACTGTAGGCTATTTTTATTATATGTACAGCACTTTGGCTCGACCAAAAATCGTTTATAAATGTGCTATATAAATAAAACTTGATTTGATTTGATTTGAAGTTGCATAAATTATAGTACAAAACTGTACACAGTCTTTGTCCATCCATTTTTATAAATATACAGAACATTTTGGTAACATAAATTCTTTAGTCATGCTATTTGTCTTTACCATACTGTGAGAAAGAAGTGTAATGTTTTAAATAATGTAAATAATGTAATTGTAAATAATGTCAAATATGATTTAAACACTAAACTAGATTGTTCAGCAGTCAGTGCAGGATATCATATCAAAGTCCAACTGAAATCAAATGGCTTATTTGTTGTGTGTTACAGCATACATACAGTAACTTGTCTGCAAATCATTAGTCCTGTGTTCTCTACCTAAAACAAATCTGAAACCAAAACAAGACAAGGGGGGGGGGGAGTGTGTGGGAAAGAAACTCCCTATGGAGGGAACACTTTTACACATAATTTACATGCACAAAAAACATATATAACACACTACAGGAGAGGGAATACCCCAAAAAGCACAATAAGGCCTCTTTAAAGTATATGGGTTACATTTGATTTCAATTGGACCTTAATTGAAATCAAATTGGGCTGGTCGTGGCAAAGTCGATAGGGAGTTGGTTTGGCAACTGGAAGGTCACCAGTTCAAGTCCTGGCAAGACCAAGGGCTCTCTTAGGCAACCCATCTAGGGGAGGACAAATTGAGGCTTAAAAATCATCCAAAACTGTGCAACAGTACAGTAGGCCCACACAAACTGCAGAACACTGGTGCTTTGGGAACACTCAAATGATTTAATTCCCATTTAAAATCAGGAGACTAAATACGAACATTGTGTGTGTGTGTGTGTGTGTGTGTGTGTGTGTGTGTGTGTGGTGTGTGTGTGTGTGTGTTGTGTGTGTGTGTGTGTGTGTGTGTCAGTCATACTTGCCGATTTTCGCGGGAGACTCCCGATTTCATTGCCCTCTCCCGGTTTACTCCTCAGATTGACTCACGACTGTTTCCACTCGGACTTTAATACAGCTACACCATTGTTTGGTTTCCATGGTAGCGCGTCTCTTTAGCAGCGCGCGCAACTCAAAGTCTGAGAGGGTGAGGAAGATGAAAACTGAACAACAATCCACAACTCGACCCTCTGCTCACTCCTTTCCTGTAAAATACAGGTCCATCCCACACATATGATCCATGGTGCTACAGGCATTGCCCTTACAACTACAATAAGCATGTAAATGTTAATCTACAGCTCTGGCGATCCACTAGCACCGGAGTCTCCACCTGCAGACGCAGCCATCCTTGACAACTACTGTAGCGTCACCTTGGATACGAGTCCAAACAACTCACAGACACACAGGCCAGGGCGCTGACAGGGCGCCCTTTGAGCATCAGATCTGACGACGCTGATTGGCTGAAATTATGTTTCGGCGGCATAGTATACAAATAGCAACAGTCAGCTTGTTGGCTGCTGCTGCTCTGGCTGAGGGCTCCTTTCTACCGCCCGGACGAGTGACACACGCTGTGGCCAGGCAGGAAACATGTGACTTATCAGTAACTTTAGACATCGTAAAACAATTTTAAAAGAGATTTTATTGTAGATTATACATTTTACTGATACCAACTATATAATATTTACCTTGTTCATTAAAAATAAAAATACATTTTTATTTTTATTTATTTTTAATGACAATCAAACATGTGGGAAGAGGGTGGGCGGCGCCCCTAGCGCCCTTATGGGCCGGCCGCCACTGGACTCGGTTAATAATTTCGCAACGATGTCATCACTATCACCGAACTTATGCTAATTATAAATCTATCGATCATATATCTATCGATCATAAATCTATCGATTAGATTTATGATTAGAAAATAATAAAAGTAGGGTAGACATGTGGATATTATCCGGCTGAACAAAACGTGCATTTATCTAACAGGTTCGTTTTCCACAGACCTTATTTCGAGCTATTTTCCAAAATCCTATGGAGAATCCCATTGCTTTCTGTCGAGGGAATCCGAGCTAAGCTTACTTCCGGGTTTTAGGATGCGTCACTGCACCACCGGCATAGACCTCACAGCGGGCGGAACTTGTCATAAAGTCGGTGAAAATAAAGCCCGCCCATTTAGAGGGAAGATATGATTGATCTCTATCTCTGTTTCTTATCCTATATCTAATAGAACTGCTCGGGTCTTGATAGATTGAGTGGGGAAGTTCATGAGATCTTTCTAGAGGGTTATCAATAATAACTTTTATCCAATTACCTTTTCCCTCTCTGTCTGTGTATGTGTATTCTCTTGTTCCGATTAACCCAGCCAAATCTTTTTTCTTGTTTTGTATCTATATCTACGCCGGGATCCGGAGTCGAGGCTGATCCTCTTGCTGTAGTCCTGTGTCTTGGATCCTCTATCCTGAGTTCTGGATTAAGTCGTGGACTTCGGGTCGTGGCTGAACCTGTCTCTGCGGTCCTGCCTTGGGTCTCATCATGCTGCTTCCCTGAAGGCTCCCACAGGATTGTAGCTGACATCCTCGTGGATTCATCTTCTTATTACAGACACATGCATTTCCTAACATTCGGTCTATATGCTGTAAAATGTATTATCTCTTCGATTTACACACGGCATCTATTGCACGTATGTCCGTCCTGGGAGAGGGATCCCTCCTCTGTTGCTCTCCCTGAGGTTTCTCCCATTTTTTTTTTCTTCCCCCCCTTAAACTGTGGGTTTTCTCTGGAAGTTTTTCCTTGTACGATGTGAGGGTCTAAGGATCGAGGGTGTCGTTTTTCTCACACTGATATTCTGAACAATCTGTGCTGTTGTATTTGCTGTAAAGTGTCTCTACTGTAGGCTATTTTTATTATATGTACAGCACTTTGGCTCGACCAAAAATCGTTTATAAATGTGCTATATAAATAAAACTTGATTTGATTTGATTGATTTGATCAATTGTACTGTCATTTGACATTACTCTCTCATTGAGTTATAGCGGGCCCTCTGTGAATGTAGAGAGGGACCAACAAGCTCTCCCGTCTTCATATAACTCGCAGAGACGGCATTTAACCCTTCACATTCCAACAGAAACTGAACAGGCAGATTCGAAGGATTTATTTCTTTGGAAATATTATTTTAAATACAATTAAATCAAGTTATTTTGGTAAAACTAATGAAAAATGCAACAACAAAAAAATATAAAAATAATATTTAAAAAAAAACCTTTTTTTTTTAATGTTTTCTAATATTATTTTTTAGAATATCTTCCTAGAGGGCCCTGACGGCTCGCCACTGACAGAGATGCTGTATGAGAAACCAATGTGAGTTTGGAAAATTGCACAATATAAATCTATTCTAGTAGACCTCAACAATGGAATTATGATCGGTGGAAATGGCCATGACATGTCTCCTTTAAGATGGTGAACAACTTTGGACTTGATAAAATACTTTTTAAAGGCATTATCTCAAGTTTACAGACACAATCAAGAAAATCAAGCTCTTGGCTCTCGTTTTCATATTTAAATATCTATTCCTGCAGACATGTCTGCACATTATATGCAGTAGAATGCCAAACAACACGGCTGCATTATCCTGGTCTGTTCTTAGTAACAAAATCACATTTATCTTTATGAATGTCAATTAATTTTGATATATTGAAAAGGCAGAATAATATCAGCTAAAAGGTCAATTTACCTAACGAGCTCAGCGATCTAGGTGTGAAACTGAGGTCACATGATAACAGATGGTTGTGATGTTCGGAAATAGTAAACCCCAGTCTCTGTTCAAAGATGTTCTCTAGCATCAGATCATGTTTGTCCAACTGTCCACAACCCCTTGCAAAATTGTATTTTTGAACAGATGTGGAAGGATTTTGCCAAAATCCAACAATGTTTCATGTGAAACTAGAAGGTGGAGCTTTGAGACTAGATGATTTTGTAGCAAATATTTATATTTGTCCTGAGCTTTTCTTTGATTCTGGAGTACCAACGCAAACGCTTGATACATCACCATCCACTGCTCTATGATGATTAATATATGTATTGAAGCAGAGAAAAAGCTAATTTGTAGCATCTGAAATCTTACATTTTTTTGTCAGTGCATCTGTCCTCTGAAATTGCGTACCTTTAATGTAAGGCGGTTTATAAAGTCTTGCTACCTAAGAGCTGCACTTCAACTAAACAAAGGTGAAAGAAGAAAATGTTATCTTATTTGTACTGACCCATTACCTTAAGGCTGGATTACACAGAAGGCTTGGCATAGGTATAGTTGTAAGGTCCAGTCGGGTGTAATAATGGTGCAGTCCTGACCTATATGTCTGAATGAGTGTGTGCGTAATCACATATCGTTATCATAGTCTCCAATCATACTCCGAGTGTTGGACGCCAGGAAGATGTCGTTATCTTGTGGACATTCATGATGGCACGAGCAGGTCTTAATAAACATCATCTTTTTGGTGAACGTTTCTCCCTCTGTACACTCGAACTCCACCTCGGCTGTGATGGTGGTGTGTGGCGTGCAGCAGCGATTGTCTGTGCAGACACCACAGAACTTTTGTTTGTACACCCTGGTGCTGGAGCAGCCCGACAGCTTGAAGCGAAACCCATGCTGGGCCTTTGGTGTCCGGATGCATTTCTTCCCCTTCTGTGGGACGGACACATAATCAGATCTCAATGTCATGCATTAGCATCATCACAGAGTAAAAGTACTTCTTAATAGTGGCAAGTGGTAAGCTGCGCAAATAGCTCGAAATAAGGTCAGTGGAAAACGAACCTCTAATCGATAGATTTATGATCGATAGATTTATGATTAGAAAATTATAAAAGTAGGGTAGACATGTGGATATTATCCGGCTGAACAAAACGTGCATTTATCAAACAGGTTCGTTTTCCACAGACCTTATTTCGAGCTATTTTCCAAAATCCTATGGAGATATCCCTGTCACGATTCTCATGTTATGTCACGTTTGTAGTTTTGTATGTTTGGGTTTATTTTGCTGTTCGGTTCTCCCTGTCTTGTTTTCCTCCTTATGTATTGTCTGGTCCCTCTCCCGGTGTTTTTCCTCCCTGTCGTTAGTTTCCCTAGTGTGTCTAATTGTCTGATTGTGTTCACCTGTGGCCCTTGTGTTTCTCCTCCCCTGCCCGGCTGTTTCTCGTCCTGTGATTACCCCTCCCTGTATTTAGTCTTGTCTCTTCCTGTGTTCAGTGTTGGTTCGTCTTTTGTTGTTCTGTTTGTCCGAGTTATATTATTTTATCCTTGAAATAAAGGTATAATTAGTTTTATCTGCATTTGGGTCCTGCTTCCTTCACTCTACCGTAACAATCCCATTGCTTTTTTGTCGAGGGAACCCATGCGCAGCTTACTTTCGGGTTTTAGGAAACGTCACTGCACCACTCTGTTAGTTGTGACTGTTGTGATTTAAAGTATATTATTAGATGGCTTAGTTGAAAACTCAAATCTTTTCAGTTTGGAAATTTCAGAGATGGTTAATTTCTGACTTCTACTGCTAAGACTTTTTTTTTAATACACTGTTGTATTCCGTACGTTTGTAGAACATTTGCTAGGATTGACCATGACATTCTCAGAAAATACTTGGGTAAGTAGTAATGAAACAGAAATTACAAGATAGGCGCTTCTCAGGTATTGGCAACTCCTAATCCAACATTTTCTATTTTGTGCCACGGAGTACCTCAAGTTTCAGTTCTTGGTCCTTTTGGATTTTCTATGAACAGTATATGCTGGTATTGGGATATATTATACCTAGACATGATGTCAATTTTTACTTTGTTGCTGGCAGATCTTGGCTGCATCCCTGTTAATAGTGGAAAAAAAGAAGCACCTTCTTGAATTGTTTTAAAGACATTCATCAGTATACATATGTATACTGTATTTCTTTACAAAACTGAGATCCTGATATTTACTACTAAAAACCTAGATTTCAGACTTTGTCCACTTTTCTAACTCGGATAACTCAACGTACATTATCAGAACGGTCCGTTTAATCTACAGTCAGCAGCCGACTGCCAAACGCTTTCTGGAGGTGATAGTTTGGTTTGTGAGTCCTGCTGTGACAGGGCAAATAGATTGGAACTCAGCCATGAACAACCTGAAATTGGTTCAGAATACGGAGCCTCCCTGATATAATACCTTCATAAATATAGGCACAGCTAACCTTTACTTTTGAGCCGTAAATGGAGCCTAACAGAACTGCATAGTGAAAGATTACTAACCGAATCTAAAAGCTCATGGTGCCATTTTTTAGGGCACTTGGCCATCTGCCTGTGGACACTAGGTTTGGGTCAGTTATGTAATGTCAGATCAACTTAATAAGGGTTATTCACTGGAAGTTATTACTGGAGTATGTTTTTATCCTCAAACCCCACTGTTAATTGAAAGAAAACACACACCTTGATTTCTTTTCCCTGCTGGGTGTTGCAGGGCCGGACCATGCACATCCTGCTCTGCCTCTCCAGCTGGCATCGCTGGTTGTCGTTGGTTATGCGGGATGAGACGCCCATGTCACAGGTGGCCGAGCACTCACTCCACTCTGTAGTCTGGACTATACAGTTATCTCTTGGACTCTCTGCCTGCGGTCCATTTGGAAACACCTGCCTGAAGAGTGGATCTGAAGAGGGTAAAGGGAGAATCTGAGAGGCTCCTAAAGAAGAAGGGTGATAAAGGAGAAGTGGGGGGGAATGATTAAAAAAGTCAATTGGTATTATTGTTTTTTCAAAAAGACGACTGCTCATGAGGAGGCATGGGTGTATTTTCAGGGTTGAATGTATCCCAAAAATTGAGAAAAAGATGAACAACATATGCAATAGTTGTGGGTCCAGAAAGTCATATAAAGTAGCTTTAACACGTAAATATATACATTGATTTATGCTGTTGATCTGTCTTTAGCTGTGGTTTGAGGTTTAACATGGGATTATACCTATTTAATGACATTCTATGGTTAATAACCATGTTGTCTGGGTCAAAATCCCCAAATCACTTAAATTGATAATAAAGTACAAAAAGCCTACATCTACTGGGGGGTGGGGGGTAGTGAATGTTACTGACTTAAAGAAAAACAACCTGTGGTCTAGAGTTGATCCCACATTGCATACAAGAATAAAACGCTGAATTTTGAAAGGCATCACTAATATTAATAACAAAAATATCTGGTATAATTGGCAAGTGCAATTTTATAACATGTTTTATGATTGTTTTCTATGACATACAATACATTTTTCATGACATACTAGCATGACATTTGTAAGAAATACTATAGTGTGACTTTGTTTACATACTGTTGTCACAATCCTAATGTCATATCACGTTTTTAGTTTAGTCTGTCTTGTTTTGGGTGTTATTTTGCTGTTCTGTTCCCACCTGTGTCTTGTTATCCTGTCATTAGTTTCCCTCTAATTGTGTTCACCTGTTGCCCTTGTGTTTCTGCCTCCCCTGCCCGGCTGTTTCTTGTCTCGTGATTACCCCTCCCTGTATTTAGTCTTGTCTCTTCCTGTTCCCCTGTCGGTTCATTGTTTGTTTGTCCTCCCTTCACGTCATGTTTCTTGGTTGTCTCTCCGGTCTTCCTCCATGTTTCTCATGGTCAGTTTTTGTGTAGTTGTTTTCTGTTACCGTTTCAAGTTATGCCATGTTTTGTTAATCAGCTTTTAAATAAAGCTTGCTTTTGTTTCAAGACCTTTTTCCGTTTTTTGTAGTCTGCATTTGTGTCCTACCTTTTTCCACGATTCCTAACAGAATGAACCGACCAACAATGGACCCAGCAGATTTTTATTTTTATTTGGACTTGTTCTCCCTAGAGTACACTCTTCAGTGTCATTATGCTGAATGGAGTAGAACCTCGGCTGTCCTCAAAAAGGCACAAATGGAGGTGGACAACGTGCCATGGTTGATAAGCTCATTGCCTGAGTTTCTCAGAGTTTTTTCTCGTAGCCCTGAGTGCCAGTCTCCATTCTCTGACCCTTTCTTGGGATCCCGCCTGGCGTTTGGAGGTCCACGGAGCCTCCAAAAGACCTCTAAAAGACGCAAGGTCAGGAAGCCAGCTCGTACTCAGGTACCGGTCCCAGCAGCATTGGTTCCGGCTCCAGTGCCGGCCCATACAGCCATGGTTCCGGCTCCAGTTCCAGCCATGGTTACGGCTCAAGTACCGGGACCAGCAGCCATGGTTCCGACTCCGGCTCCTCGTCACCTGTTAACTCTCCGGCCGACGCCAGCTCCCCGAGTCCTGTCGGCGTACCGGCCGACGCCAGCTCCCCGTGTCCTGTCGGCGTACCGACCGTCTCAAGTCACCTCGCGGTTCTCGCCCTCGAGCCCGGCCCCCTGACTTTCCCGGCCGCTGCCTTCGCCCTCATGCCCGGCCCCCTGAGTTCGCCCGCTGTGGCCTTCGCCCCTTTCTTAACTCTGCCTTGCCCCCGGGCCGTCCGCCCGAGACCCCCTCCTCGAACTCTGCCTTGCCCCCAGGCCGTCCGCCTGAGATTCCCACCATGTACTTTGCCTTGCCCCCGGGCCGTCCGCCCGAGACCCCCTCCTTGATCTCTGCTTTGCCCCCGGGCCGTCCGCCCGAGTCCCCCTTCTCGGCTTCTGCTTTGCCCCGGGATGTCCGTCTGATTCGATATAATTCGATACACTTACATCATTTTCTGAAAGATTGTAAAGGGACAGTGTGATTTTGGTGACATCTTGTGAGTGTTCCATTGACGTGGATTGAATTAATTCAACTGAAAACTGAAAGCATCAATTATACAATATATGGCTCTGACTAGACAGAGAGTCTACAGCTTGCAAATGCTGGACAAAATGAATCAAAAGATGTGGTGAGAAAATGTGTTTAATTTATTGAAACAGTGCAAACTGTAGCTTACAAGCATTTGAAACGTAAGTACATAAAGTGCAGTATCACAATGGACAATGGAGAATTAAAAGGTGCAGCAGGTGGCCTGTTCTGAACAGATTCTTTTACAGCATTTTTAGCGTAACACAGAATATGAGGTAGCCAATAATTCAAGTCACTAAGAACAACATTTAATGTAAAATGTACCTGCCAATAATTCAAGTCCAAAGGAGTAACATTTAAGCCAAAAACACTAAACAGAAAGGCTCCTCTCTACATAACTGCATCTACATTCTCTTCAGATTTTTGTTCAGGAATATAATCTGATCAACGTGGTCTGGGAGAAGTGCACTTCTCTGAGCAGTGACGATATCTCCGGCGGTAGAGAAGACCCTCTCCGAGACGACACTAGTGCCAGGGATGCACAGGTACCTTTTAGCAAAGTGTGACAAGAGTGGATACTCATACTGGTGCTCCTTCCACCAGACCAGTGGATCTTCTTTCACTTCCAAGAGATCTACCTCCTTGTAGCGGGTCATCTGCTCCTTGGCCTGGTTCTCTTGGGTATTTGTCTTGGGTTGTGCTCCACCACCAAGAAGGGCAGCCAGTGGACAAGACGGCTTTGGATTCCTGGGTGGAGGATGCTGACCTTCAAATAAATAAACAATAAAAACAAAAACACATTCCATAATTCCTACTCAGAGGTTCAGACAACACAGTGTGCTTCACTAGATAACTGGGGTTACGTAATGTAACCCAGCTTCTATGAGTATAGGCGCAGCCCTCTAAGGCTATCGCTATTGGGTTAATCCCACTGCACGTGTGCAGCACTGACAGACTTATTCCACGCCCACCTATGACGTGGGCCCCACCTCCGGGCTCACTTCCGTATAAATAGGAAGTAGGCCCTACAATCCACTCCAACAGCTTTTCTTCAGCTATTCGCGGAACCAGTGGGGCCCGAACCTTAGAGGGCTGCGCCTATACTCATAGAAGCTGGGTTACATTACGTAACCCCAGTTCTATATCGTATAAGGATTCGCCCTCTAAGGCTATCGCTATTGGGTTAAGGGCGAAGCAGGATGTAGTCTACGCCCCACTGGTTCCGTCCGTTACCAGAAGCAAAAAACACACCTACTCAGTTAATAACTCATGTCCATTTCGCATGGGCATGCAATTGAAAAACCCCGACATTACTCACTCTGGCAGGCTATTCAGTACTAAATGTGTCAGAGAAGAATGGGAGAAATCCCTCAAATACAAACGAATAAAAGAACAGGGGGAAGACCAAGATGCAGCAATGCAAATGTCTTCCATTGTCATTCCTCCGTGCAACGCCGTAAAGGAGGTGAGGAGGAGGAGGAAAGAAGCCATCCAAAGTTATCACTTGCGATCTAAAATCTAACCTTTGGCATAAAAAACCCGGTTAGGGCGCAAAACAGCTAAGCTGCCATCTCCTTGGATCCGGAGACATGACGGAGCCACCGAGAGAGCAGATCAATCACTCACCCTTTTAGCTGATGTCAGAGCCAAGAGCAGAGCTACTTTGGCTGACAGAAACTTCAGGGGAACCTGATCTAAAGGTTCAAATGGAGCTTTACTCAGTGCGCGTAACACTAAAGTCGAAACCCATTGAGGCGCCAAAGCGCGTGACACAGGTCTGAGTCTCTGTGCTCCCCGTAGAAAACGTTTTGTCAGGGGGTGACTACACACCGTGCTGACACCAATCTACGCGGCAAGATGAAATGGCAGCAGCATATGTTTCGACCATGCTATAAGCCAATTCCTGTCCAGCAACAGCTGGAGGAACGACAGCACGAGGCAGGGGGCCCAACGGGGTCCAGAATTTTCCCTACACCCAAAACGGAACATTGTCCATTTGGCTGTGTAGGATGTATTCAGCAGCTGCGCTGATCGAACACCTCCCTGGTGATTTATGTAGGCCGCCGCTGCTTTGTTGTCTGTTCGAATCAACACATGTTGATTGTACAGCAACAGGGCGAAGTGCTGGATTACTTTCCATATAGTAATTCCAGCACGTTTATATGAAGGGACATGTGACCCGGCCACTGTCCCCCCACTGCCTGCGACATGCACGTTCCTCAGCCTGCTAGAGATGTGTCTGTGAACACTGTGGTGTGAGACGTCACTCTGCTCAGATCGTGCTGGACAGCGATGGCGGTTGTTACCACAAGTTCCCATCTACTTCACCAAGGTCTCAGAAGATTACAGAGTCCATTGCCTACTTTATTTGTCAGGATTTGAGACCTTATTCCGTGGTGGAAACGCGTCAAATATGACAATAGCAGCTGAGGAGGCAGCGTTCACACTTCACGTCAAATGCTACGCACACACCCTAAATCTGGCTGCACAACGTGCCCTCAAAATCACAGCTGTTGGGAAGAGTGAGACGCATTGTGAACTTCTTCAGACGAAGCACCGCAGCCAACCACATGCTGAAAGAGAAACAGAGGCTTCTACAACTACCAGAGCACAAGCTGATGACGGACGTGGTTACAAGGTTTGTGCGTAGTTACTTTTCAATTGTTTATTTTGTTTTTATTACTAATTTATTTTGTCATTAATAAATAAATTTAAATAAATCTATATATAAAGTTTCTTACTTTTATTTAACTACAGGTGGAACAGTGCACACGACATGCTGGAAAGATTCCTTGAGCAACAACCGGCCATCTGTGCAGCCCTGCTCTCGAGTGAGGTGAGGAAGACCGAGAAGGATCTGTGCACACTGACTGAGTCAGACGTGACAACAGCTGAAGAAGTAGTCAGCGCGCTGAAGCCCATGAAGGAGGCTACAC